TTATAACCATTCCAGAAGAAGACGTTATTGAGGTCCAACAGGCATTGGTGGAGCATAAGTGAGACTGGAAGAAGGTAAGACATTCTGTGCCTAAACTTTGAGGTATGGGATGGTAGAACCCCAAAGACTTTCTCAGGGAGGATCAGAAGGAAATATTCATTTCCAGTCAGGGAGAATAACATCAAGTGCAGCATCTTCTTATTCAACATTATTTTATTCCTGTAAAGTGTTCTTGGAGTTACTGTATTTGATAGCACTTGCTTTCTGGATTTTTTATGTACCCTATATTTAAGCCAAAGTTTTCCTATATTTAAGCCAAAGCTTTCCTTTCTGTTGTAGAGATGGATCACTCCTGCAAGAGAGGGGTCACAATTAGCATGAGAAAGGAGTGGTAGACACTCAATGAATAAAGGAGGGAACTATATTTTAGAAGTTTCTTGAATTTAGCTAGTTGCTCCTATCATCAACAACAGTAATAACAATATTTTTCCAACAAAGAAAGATTCCCTCCAGCCACTAAAAGTTTCCACCTTCTTCTTTTTTTTTTTCTGAACAGTGAAATTAGTCATCTATGGAGATTATCAGCCATCCAGGTCATGGTTGTCCCAAAGGTGCTTTTTCAAGAGGCAACTGGACTGTCTTGTTTTTTTTCAAAGATGTTCCGCTTCTCATCCAAGAAGCTTCTTCAGCTCTGAGAGAAGCTTCTACAATGAGAAGCAGAATTTCTTGAAAGAAAAACAAGAAAGTCCAGTTGCCTTGTGAAAAAGCATCTTTGGGGCAGTGAAATTAGTCATTAAAAAAAAACCTTTTGTGGATAGTGGGAGCAATTATCTCCCTTGTGATATTTATTCTTCATTGTTGCAAGTTATCTATTTTTGTAGTCATTTATATCATTGGGAGTTTTATATTCAGAATAACTGCTGAATCGTTGTTGTTTTCCAAACTGAAATCCATCAAGAGACCTTTGAAATGCTCCAAAAATCTCTTCTTTGAGAGTGGAAGTTTCTGTTGGAAGAAAAGAAAGAAGAGTGGATTCAGTAATTGCTCAAAAATCACCAAGTCTTCATTTCTGTCTTTTCTGTGGAAAGATTGTGAACTGTTGCCAAACAGTTTTATTTATAGTACCATCATTTTGAAAATTTTCTAGTATGGTTCTTGGTATATAACTTACAGCAATAATATGCTAATATTACTAATATTTTGAAAAACCCAGTCAAAACAGCCAGCTGGTTGTGCAACTCACCATCGTGATAACAATAAAAGATGAAGATTGCCTCTCATATAAATGATAACGTAAGACTCGTACTGGATCAGTTTTTATCCAAGTAAGTGCTACAGATTCTGGCTTCTGGTGCCAAGTGGACTAGAGAATTTAGAACTGTCAGCTAACCAACTAAAAACCAGCAGTTGTAGGACTACTGAAATTATAGTTATTTTATTGTTCACCAATATACAAAGATTGGATATAAGCAGAAAATATACCTATTACTATCAGTAGTAACAATAACTTGGGAGCCCTCTTATTACATCTCGAGCTCTACTTGAGCACTGTGGCATTGACAAAACCACCCTCAGTTAATTGCAAAAGGCAGCTTTACTTGGAAATGCCTAGATCCTGTGATCGCTCTCAGATAGCCATGGCTATCCCAGGAAAAGAGTGGCAAAACCAGAACATCTGGCTGACTGTGTGACTAACCATAATTTCGTGAAATGGCTACATTATCCAACTCTCAAAGACTCTGGGCAGCACCCAATGATAAAACCTCAAAGAAACTTTTATATGTTCAATTAAAAAAGTATCTCCCATTAGACAGGTAATTGCACCAAGAGAATTTCTATGAAAAAAGACAACTCTACGGGAAGATGAGAGAGTAATACCAGACTGGAGGCCGAGAATTAGGATAGAAAAATTCCCGCCCACATGAAAATGCACAGCTGGCATACTTATCAAGCTACAGATATTCCAAGGAAAATGTTGGTTTTATTGTGGTCTCACAGAAAGCTGAAATGAAGGAGAAATAAGTTTGCAAACGGTCTGATGATGGTTGATGAGAGAGATCCAGTCCCAAACCAGAAATAGGACAAAATATATTTAACTGCTTAAATTTAATCTTAAAAAAATTCTTGCCTGTATTCTTCTTCTCTCTCTTATGCAGGGAGAGGGAGATGCAGGGACAGAAAAAGGCAGTTTTGAGATTCCCTTGCAGTCCAGGATGTAAGTAGTGGATGCAAAATTCCTGAAACTTGAGAATTTTCATACACAAGCACAAAGGGAGAGCTTTATCGTGGAAATCAAGTAGTAAAATAGTTGAAAAATAATGTTGGGTCATCATAAAGAGAAATGTTGAAATAGGTCTCATCTCTGCACCAGGACCCTTAAACTCATCAGTGTCAGATATTTCAATTCCTTAGCAGATATTTTCACGGTTCTGTTTGGATGGCTACCATTACATCTGAAAAGCAGTCCAGAAAAAAGTCAATGGTGATTTAGGTGACTATCCCCATATTAGTATTAAAAGTACATTTTTGATATGAAAAATCAGGGGCAGAAACTAGTAGCCAAGTGGATGGATATTACTGCATTTACTTATGTCTAAGATCTTCCAAATGTGTTATCTATTTGAAAATATTGGTCCAAAATCTTCAAAGTTGGGAGAAGATTACTATGTGATGTTATTGATGGCTATTATAGCCGACGATGGCCAAAGCAGAACAAGTTCCAGAGGAAAAAAAATGGGTTTTAAGTCCCGTTCAGGTTAATTGTAGTTCCACTGAAGAAAAATAGTAGGTTCTATCCATACTAGACTTTGCTTACAATGTCCAAAATATGTCATTGTAAGGTGATAGTAAGCAGATCTTCTGGAGAAAAGAAATATTTCTTTTCTGGGATGGGTAAGCAGATCTTGTTAAAAGCCTCAGACGCTGAGATATATTTTTTGTCTTGCACAATCAAATGTGAGCATCAAGTGATAAGACAGTCTGGTTCCTGTTATTTGCAAGATAATCACCAACTGTACAATGGGGAGGTTGCCCATGAGCCTTGGCAACTGTCAAGGAGAGAGATATTCTTCTTTTATTTCAGTTGGACCTCTCATCTGAGAAGTTTTATGGTGAACTTCTGATTGTAGATTTCTCGCCTTCATGCAAAACACGACAGAAATTGCCTCTTGTTTATAGCCTTCCTATATTCTGTCTCATGTAGACTAAGAGTTAAATCAAGGGCCTGGGTTTACTGGAGCACAAGGTGGGGGGGGGGTTTCTAAAAGAAGCTTAGTGCTGTCATGACACTGCCATGGAGTAATGCTATCAAATGCCGGCCTATTTGGCATGCAATTTTTTTCTGCATAGCTGAGGATCATATGAACCCTTACCTGGCCAGGTCAGCCTCTTCTTAATACTTTCCTGTTTTACAAGGAACCCTGTGATGCCCCTCAACACTGCTAGACTCAAGAGATACTATTCCTTTCTAGGGGGGAATAGAAAAGGACCTAAAATCATATAGGTAAGTAGCTAGATAGCTAGATAGCTAGATAACTAGATAGCAAGATAGATACATAGATAGATAGATAGATAGATAGATAGATAGATAGATAGATAGATAGATAGATAGATGTTTTGTATACTTGATATTTATATGTCGACTTTCATATCAGTCTCAGTTGAGGTTTCCTGGTTTTTTACTCATTTTCCAACCAATTTTTCGCCAATATGACAATACAAGTATGTCAGAAGCAAATAAACTGTCTGAAGCCCAAGTGTCAATGCTGCAAATACTGTATATTCTTGCTTTGACAATATGCAGAACTGTCTGGTATTTTTGGGGTTAATACAGAGCAGAAGGGGGGGGGGTTAAAGCCCAGGAAAGAAAGAGGAAGGAAACCTTTGACCTTCACACTAATTGGATAATGTGATATAAGATAGCGAATTTAGGGAGGGAGCATGCTGATAATTTAACTGCTCATAGGAAGAGAACTTAGATCTTAGCATAAACCTTCCTTTATGCCTGTGCCGACATTTTGAAGCAATAAAAGAATTTTAGGGAAATCAAAGCCTGGAAGTTCTTTGAAGTGTTTCGTTAGCCGGAACCAAACACCAAGATCAAGGAAATAAAATGTTTCTTTAGCTTATTCTTAATTCTTTCTCATCAGTTTTGGCTTTTCAGTTCTGTATGAAAACCCATCTCATTTTTGTGCCTCAATTTGGAAAGTTCCAGTTTGCACACACACACACACACACACACGCACACACACACACACACACACACACACACAGAGAGAGAGAGAGAGAGAGAGAGAGAGAGAGAGAGAGAGAGAGAGAGAGAGAGAGACTGGAAATGTTCTATATTTAACTAATCAAGGAGAGATCAGAATCAGAATTAATTAATGGAACAGCTTGCCTTCAGAAGCTGGGGGTGCTCCATCACTTGAGCTTTTTAAGAAGAGACACCATTTCAGACCAATGGTTGTCCAATCTCTTCTTAAAAACCTCCACTGTTGAAGCATCCCCAGCTTCTGAAGACAAGTTGTTCCACTGGTTAATTGCACTAAATGTCAGGAAATTTCTCCTTAGTTCCAAGTTGGATCACTCCTTAATATGTTTCCATCCATTACGTCTTGTTCTGCCCTAAGGTGCTTTGGAGAATTGGTGGACCCCTTCTTCTAGAAGTTATGGCAATATTGATACCAATAAAGGAGAATATTTGTAGCCTGGGTTGCAGTGAGGGGTCCTTGGTACTCTCTGAGCTTGCTTTTTAAGCCATCTCTTTCCCAAACTAGGTAACATCATCAGGGCTAGCACTGTGCTGGGACTAGCACTGATGATGTTACCTAGTTTGAGTAATGAAAAGTCTGCAAGAAAACAAGTAAGCTGAGAGAGCACCAAGTGGCCCCAATATTGATGTTATTTAGGAGACAGGAATGATTGAATCCATTCTTCTTTTTTTTTCTTCTAATAGGAGCTTCCCCTCAGAAAGATAACCAGAGGATTACAAAAGCTTAATGATGAATTCCAGCCTGGGAGATCTGAATGCTACAGAGAATTATTATGGATATAATAATGCCAGTGAACACACAGAACAACTCACCCTTTCTGATATAGAATTGATTCTTTGGAGAGGCATTGTTTTAATGGTCTGCTGTATTGGATTTGTGGGCAATGGCTACATCATCTGGCTACTTGGCTTCCAAATGAAGAGAAACTGTTTCACCACATTCATCCTTAACTTGGCCATTGCAGACTTTTGGTTCCTCACATTTATAGTTATATATTTCATCTTGCAATTTACCGACTTGCTAGGAAGCATTCTCGGCCCCATCTGTTCTTCTTTGTCCCACATGATGTACGTCAATACTCACTTTCTTATGACGGCCATCAGCATTGACCGGTGTGTGGCTGTCCTCTTCCCAATCTGGCATCGCTGTTCCCGGCCAAAACATTTGTCCCCTGCGGTCTGTGTCATCCTCTGGACCTCCTCTTTCCTCCTTGTTGGAACTGTGGACATTATGATGGTCACAAAAGTCATTGTGAATGACAGCCTCTCCAGTCTTTATTTCCTTGTGACTGCTATAGTTTGCCTTCCATTGATCACTCTCTCTACTGTGGTCCTTTTCATCAAAGTGTGTATTAAATCGAATCAGAGGAATCAGGGTCGGCTTTTATTGTTGATTTTAATCACTCTTCTCTGTTTCCTCATCCTTTCTTTTCCATTATCTGTCTTTGCAGTGATTGCTAGTTTTTTTGGTATTGAACATGAAACTAATGTCGGATATTTGATTTTATTGTTTTCCTGCCTAAATAGCAGCATTAATCCAGTGATCTATTTTCTAGTTGGGAGGAAAAAAGGAGCTCGGTCCAAGGAGAGCATGAAGGTCCGTTTGCAAAACATCTTCAAAGAAGGTGAAGTTACTGGAGGGAGATAGAAGAGTTCAAATCCTCTCACAAGGCCTCTGGGCTTCCTTCTGAGTAGCAATGAATAAGTTGCACTTGAGGCTGGAATCATATAGGTGTCACTTAAAGGCAACGAATTTGTGAAATGAAGCAACAGTGAGGAAAATTAAATTAAATTAGAAACCAGTTGGAATTCAGTAATTAATGGCAAGGCTTTAGCCTCTTACTAAAAAGGGAAAGAGCAAGAGAGTCAGTTTTCAAGTATATCCCATTTCTTGGGAGCAACAGAAGAGAAATGGGGGTCACAGGCAAAATCAAAAATCCCCAGGCTATAATATTATATAAAGAAGAATTGTCTGACGTCAGACATATCATTTGATGTTATGAAATAAAGAATTACATGAAGTGAGACGTAATTTCATGTGATGAAATAAAAAAGATATATGAAGTCAGACCCTTTCTGTACAGACATTTCACTTTGAAAATTACAAATACGGCAATATTTCCTTTTTATATTGTTTGGTGTTAGCTACTTTGTTTGATAAATTTGTTTTTTATTGAATGCACATATTATTTATGGCTAATAAACATGAATTACATTGATAGACTTCACAAAAGTTCTTCCTTTGCAGCTTGCTGTTCTTCCAGGATGCCCTGTTGCTCATTCCTGAAGACTATTTCAAGAGCCACCTTCAAGGATGTTCTGGGCTGACTCTTTCCCCTCTGATGCTGCTCTTGAGAGTAGCACTTCCTATTCCAATTGTCAAGAGGACGGGATGAGGGAAACTGAAATAATAAATGACATATGAGGCATACCTTGGGAGAGAAAAAAGGAGGAAGAAGAGGAGAGCCAGCAAGATAGTGGTGAGGAGCTTCCTTTGATTGTGTTGCAATTTAGACCTCATGTGAATCCAGAGGCTCACAGTAGACAAAACCATGAGAGGCATACAAAATAAGCCATTCACGATAAGCTGGTAAAGCAAAAGTGAACTTCTTTTGTTTCTGGTCTGGTGAAGAATGAAGTGCACTGCAGAGAGCAAGAAGGAGAGGATCCAGATGGGGCCACAAACAAGAGTGGAGAGATATGGCAGACGATGGCAGTAATGCCAGAGTGGGAAGAGGACAGACACACACCTGTCCAGGCTGATGGCCGTCATTAGAAACTGGCTAGCAGAATAGGTGAAGGAAAAGAACTCAAAAAACAAGAAGAAAAAGGGTTGGACTATGTAAGTTCCTTTATAAACAGTTGACACCCCCACAAATATAGCTGCCATAATGAAGGATGTGAGGACCCCAAAATCAGCAATGGAAAGATTCAGGATTTAAATGGTGAAAGAATTCCTCTTAACGGAAAAGGCCAGGAGATAAATGGTCTTTCCATTTTCTACCAGGCCCAAAATGCAAATAAGGGCAATGAAGCCATTGATAAGATTTCGTATTAAATTATCAACCAGCTGATTATCTAGAGAAGACGTTTCTGGTATTTTAGAAGTATTCAGAGCCGTTTCCATATTTTCGATAATACGGAAAGAAATGTTGACTTTTTCTGGATCACGCTTTGAAAGTTCAGGAGTATCCAAAATAGTTTGGGGATGCACCCCCAAAAAAAGAGAATCAGTTCTCTTACACACATAGTCACACACACACACATATTATTAGACATTTCGGCTAAGGGCACACTACAGTTATCAGGTATCAGGCATTTGTTTAACAACCATCACAAAACAGGTAGTAAAATTGGGAGCCTTCATGTTATGACCTAACCCAAAGATGCTTTTTCATGAGGCAACTGGACTTTCTTGGTTTTTTTTTTTTTTCTTTGAAGATGTTTCGCTTCTCATTCAAGAAGTTTCTTCAGCTCTGACCTGTTATGTTATGAACTACTTAAGGAAAGATTGCACTGTTATTTTTTGCTCTTTCTGTTAGCTGTTCTAGCAAGGGTGATCCCTGTAGTAGACAGAACATTCCTTAATCGCTCACAACTTCTGCCTCTAGAACTGTTCACGAGTCTGACAAGGGGTTGAACTAATTATTTGTAATAAATAAACAGGTTGCCCCTACTGGCTTGTAGTATTATAGACTGGAAGCTAAAACATATAAAGAGCAGTTGCTGGAATTGGATTTATCTAGTTTAATGAAAAGAAGGACTAGGGGTGACATGATAGCAGTCTTCCAATATCTCAGGGGTTGCCACAAAGAAGAGGGAGTCAAGCTATTCCCCAAAGCGCCTGAAGGCAGGACAAGAAGCAACAGATGGAAACTAATCAAGGAGAGAAGCAACCTAGAACTAAGAAGAAATTTCCTGACAGTCAGAACAAATAACCAGTGGAACAACTTATCTCCATAATTTGTGAATGTTCCAACTTTGGAAGTTTTTAAGAAGAGATTGGACAACCAATTGTCTGAAATCATATAGGGTTTCCTGCCTGAGCAGGAGCTTCGGTTAGAAAACCTCCAAGGTCCCTTAAACTCTGTTATTCTGTTCTGCTCTACTCTACTCTACTCTACTCTACTCTACTCTACTCTACTCTACTCTACTCTACTCTCCTCTATTCTATCCATTCTTAGATGCTTCTAGGATTTTCTTGGGTTTTTGTGTCCAAATTGTGAGCAATTCCTCTTTGTCTTCCTCCCATGAAGAAAAAGTACTCAGATAAAAGACATTCAACCAAAGTCAGACACACCAGTCAACAAGTCAGAGATGGGAAGATTGCTGTCACACTATCCAGAGGAAAAACTTGCTGTTAAAATGAGTTCTAATATTGGCTAGAGAATCCTGAGGGATTAGCTGATCTCATACTAATGGCCTCTAAGTCTTATCTTAAACTCAAAAAGGAGTATTTTGTAAATAACAATTACCACAACAAAAATTCTGCCTTTGCTATAAAACAGGGGCAGGCAACCTTAGCTCTTTTATGACTCGTGGACTTCAACTCCCAGAATTCCTGAGCAAGCAGGCTGGCTCAGGGATTCTGGGAGTTGAAGTCCATGACTCATAAAAGAGCCAAGGTTGCCTACCCTTGTTGCAGACATACCTGGTGATGAATCTCCAATGGGAATAATTGGTCCCTTTCAGGATCTAAGCATGAGGGGTTTTTTTCAATGAATCCCCTTAGCCTGCACTTGATGTAAGTGCATTTGAGAAAAAGAATGGAGCTTCACCAAGCTTTCTCAGAAAAAAAAATAAAAAGAACTTGCACAATATTCTTCTGAATTTGGAAACTTTAAGTGTTATCACACATAAGGAAGTTCTTGAAAACATGATCATATCTTGAAACCTGTAACAACCAAAAGATATCTGATAGAGAAGCAATCCAATTTCCTGGAATCAAGGCCCATTAAAGGAGTAATGGCAGCAATTATTAAGTGTGACAGCAACTTCCTTGTTTTCCCAATGAATCCAAGAATATGGGCAAGTGTCCATGACCTTGCCCATCTTGTCCTATTTAAAGCAAATATAGTTTTTTTTTCTGAATCGGTTCAAGCAAAGTCAAACACATTTCTCATTTAATCTGAAGAAGAAGAAAAATAGTCCAACATTTTTGTCCATTTTTGTCCAAAGAGAAGAGAATTTTGGTGAACTTGTCATGAGTAGAACCTGGAGGTCTTCCAATTTCTTGATTAGTGGGACAAAAGGCCTGAATAGGAATGTCAAGACTCTCCCTGTAGAATCACTTTCAAGGAGTCTTTCACAGTCCAATTCAATCCCAAAGCAAGCCAGGAGAAGAAACTCTTCTAATGAAGCTTTCTCAGCCTAAGAAGAATGGACAGCTCAGGATACTGCCCTGTGACCAAAGGAAACATAATGGAAAAGAATCCTTCCATCATCACCACATTAGCTGAGGCTGAAAAGCACCACCATGAGAAGGTGTGGAATGGGTGAGTGAGTGAGTGAGTGAGTGAGTGAATGAGTGCATGAATGAATGAATGACAGAATAACAGAGTTGGAAGGAATCTTGGAGGTCCCCCTGATCAGGTAGGATGTCCTTTACCATTACAGACAAATGGTTGTCCAATCTCTCTTAAAAACCTCCAGTGATGAAGCCATTCCACTGATTCATTGTTCTAACAGTCAGGAAGTTTCTCCTTAATTCTAGTTTGGCTCTCTCCTTAATTAGTTTCCATCCATTGCTTCTTGTTCTGCCTTCAGATGACTGTCTATCTGACTGACTGACTGACTGACTGACTGAATGAATGAATGAATGAATGAACAAATACATAAATAAATATTCTTAGCATGAGGCAGAAAAGCAAAAAAAAAAAAAAGAGGGCAAATTTCAAAGACTGTCTTCGTTTTCAGAAATAAGAGGCTTGAAAGCTATTTGGGTGTTTGATTCCAGAGTGAAATCCAAAACTCAGAAGCTCTTTGAAATGTATAACTCAGCTGCAGAAAAGGCGGGGAATGAATCATGTGTAGTGCTGAAAGTAAAGTTTCTTTGTTTGGGAAGGAAGTGTCAGGTGGCCCCCAAATGGTCTCTGTGAACCCTTGAAATATGTTTCAAAATGTTCAATCATGTTACAGAGCTTGAGTAGCCAATTCCCTTATATTCAAAGAGCTTCTGATTTTTGGATTTCACTCTGGAATCAAACACCCAAATAGCTTTCGAGTGTCTTATTTCTGAAAATGAAGACAGTCTTTGAAATTTGCCCTCTTTTTTTTTTTTTTTTTTTTTGCTTTTCCACCTTTTCTCTGGTTTCCTTTGAAGTCTAAATATAGGGAATGTTGCACTGTTTCTTTTATTCTCAATCTTCCCTAATCTTAACTCACCAAGTTCTGCCCAAATCTCTTCCATCTGTGAGAAGTGTAAAAGTTCTTAACAATAGCACTCATTTCTCAGAACTCCAGCCCTAAATCTGTAGATTAAAATCTATGTCACAGCATGCAGTAGCCCAAGGCCATCTCCCATCTTGTCTTATCAGCTTGCAGACATATGAATCATTTTTACAGATGATAACAAAAGGAGAGATATAAACAATAATTATAGGGAAAAAAGACAAATAGAGGCTAGCACAGGGAGGAGAGAATTGGATA